ATATGAAACAAGTCTTGCATTCCATTTGCATCCCGAAAAAGGAACTAAAAACTTCTGGGGGTGGTCAACCGTATCTTGGATGGGAGGGGGTCAAAATGTTATGATTTCAATGAGCAGATCTTTACAAGACAATTTTCATGGCAAAAATTCATAAAAATCTATCAAATATTCACAAAGTTATGACCTTGTGTGCCAATTTGCACTCTTAGGGGGTAAAGGGTTTTAACCTTGCAGTCAAACCAAGTGAAGCGTGCCCCTCGAGATTACATGAATTCACTATTTGAATATTGAACCCGCTAATTGTTTCGAGCATGCAATAATGAATTGATCATTGGAAAATTGAACCCACTCGTCATTCCAAAAATATGGCTAATGGGTTTAACATTCACAAAAATCAATTTAATATTGATTTTTGAAATGACTAGTGGGTTCAATCTTCAAATAATCAATTCATTATTGCATTCTTGAAATGATTTGTGGGTTCAATCTTCAAATGATCAATTCATTAATGTAATCTTAAGGTCGTTCCTCACATTTGCATTGCGCATCCCTACTGCGCATAATTCATGGTGTCATTAGTGTGCTCTCGTGCACACGCATATTGAAAATGACAGATTTGCCCTGATATTGAGCTCTGTCAGTTGAAAAATGGCTCTAGCTCACCAACGAGCACAGGCACCCCAATTTTTTTCCAGTCATTGTAATCAACTAATCATAAGTTTTGCGTGAGAAAAGATTGATCTAATTTCTATTGCTGAAAATTGAATAAATAAGAAAAATAGCAGAAACACTGTGGCCTTTTCTATTTTACAGTCGGTAACAACGTCAAGAAATTTGGTTCAAATTTTTAATCAAGGATTTAGCTTTCTGTCTGAATCAAAATTAAAATGTTTATTTGTGTCCGACACAAGGTATTGACTGTAGTTTAATGCATGTTCTTATGAGTCTAGACTCACAAAGATATTACAATTACTGGGAATGCGTTCTTATAGTAAGCATTAAATACTGCCAAAATGGGGCATTTTCAATGCCCCACTGCTCCTTAATGAACATGGGTACCCCCTTTTTTTATTTCAAAATTGAAGTTATCATATGACAAATATTCAGTGGACAAAGTTTGAACAAAAATCTATTGTCACTTTTATTTCAGAGGAATTACCTTAAGTGGTACGCTTCACTTGGTTTGACTGTAAGACCTTATTCATAATTTAAACCCAAACCACTAATATAGCTTATTTATCATTAAGGAGGCAAAGTCAT